TGCGGCGCCATGAAGGAGTGCGAGTACCGGCAGATCCCGCCCGGGATAGCGGGGCCGGTACCGGGTACCGTCGCTTCATCACCCCCGCCAGCCGCCGGCCTGGAGCGGTCCGGGACGATCCGCCGACCTCGGCGGAAGTGGGAGGTTTTCCCCGGTCGCAATCGCTTCTATTGCGGCGGCCGCCTCATGCTGGCCCGGCACAGCGGAGTCTTCGCCCTCACCCTCGGCCTCATCCTGGCCACCAGCGGGCTCTTCTTCGCCTTCGAGTGAGTCCAGGACGGGGGAGAAACGGGGGAGGGGTCCCGGTACCGCCCCGGGGGGGGCTACGGGGTCGTCGTCCCCGCGGGGGGTCCCGCCCGTCCGTCCCGTCCGTCCCCGCCCTCCATCCCGGGATCGGGTCGTGTGTCCCCCCCCTGGGACCCTTCCCTTCTGGGGTGTGAAAAGTGCTTGATAAACGGTGAAATTCTTTGGGGTCCCGCCTGGGATGAGGGGGGGTCTGCACCAGAGCCCTGTCCCCGTTGTGCTGTGGGGCCTGAGGAAGAGGGGGCTCGTCCTTCCCTGTCCCCTTCACTTTAGGAAACTGTCCTGCTCTTGTGCCCCAAGGGAGGGGAGAGCTGGGAGCACCCCGTTATTCCCTGCAATGCCCAAAGGAGCTGGGAGCACCCCGTTATTCCCAGCACTGCCCAAAGTAGTCAGGGATGAAGCCAGGATCACCCTGATACTCCCTGCGCTGCCAAAGGAGCCAGGGATGGAGCCAGGAGCACCCCATTATTCCCTGTGCTGCCCAAAGGACCCAGGGATGGAGCTGGGAGCACCCCGTTATTCCCTGTGCTGCCCAAAGGAGTGGAGGATGGAGCTGGGAGCACCCCATTATTCCCTGCACTGCCCAAAGGAGCCAGGAGCACCCCATTATTCCCTGTTCTGCCCAAAAGAGCTGGGGATGGAGCTGGGAGCACCCCACTATTCCCTGTGCTGCCCAAAGGACCCAGGGATGGAGCTGGGAGCATCCCATTACGCTGCCTTGAGGAGCTGGGGATGGAGCACCCTTGGTTATCACCACCTTTGAGGGCTTCTGCTGTCCTGGCTCCCCAAATTCTGTCTCAGGAGGGACGGGGGCTTGTTTTTCCTGCGGCTGTACGAAGCGGG